CAACCTGAAACAACCAATCTGGAAATCTTCGTCACTCAGAATCAACAACAAAATTCGGTAGGATTTTCAATACAAACAACGTCAAGTCAGTCAGTTCTTCTATACGGATCAGAAAATTAGTGGGCGGATCACAAAGAATATTTCCAATAGCCTGTTGCAGACCTTTATCAACCAACAACTGTCTTCGCTATATACTGAAGACCAGATGGCAGAGTCGGAAAGAATCAACAACAAGAAACTATGGAAGAAACAAAACAAGAACGAATCGCCAACCAACAAATATGCAGGAGAAAGTGGAGATGGATTGGACACTCGCTGGGGAGGCCGCTTGGTGATATCGCGCGAGCGTCAGGCCATTGCTAAAGTGGAACCCGGAAGGGAAGCGGCGAGTGGGTCGTCGGTGCAAGGGTGACATGGAGGTCGTGTGAAGAGGAGTTGAAACACAGTATGGACTAACTAACATGGATGCAGGTGAAAAGTACAGCAGAAGACAGAAGCAAGTGGAGACGTGTGGTTGAAGCCCTATGTTCCGCTAGAAACCTAAGGGAACAATAATAACAAGAAGAACCAGTTAGCTTTCACAATTAACTTTTGCGGGGTCAAACACTAATAGCCTCATGAATAGCAAGTCACATATACTGACTGTGTCTATCGCCCTGAAATTTTTGTGATATTGTTTCACTAACACTTGTGCATTAGTACAAACAAGTAGTGATTCAGCTCACATCACTCCAGTAACTTTATCAGCATATCTGCTTATATTATCACAAAGACTAAATTTCACATTGAAGTTAGTGCTGACCAGGGAGATAGCGGCGGTCAAACCAAAACATGGCTTCCTCAGTCAATGAAATACACATTTAGTTTAAGCCAGCCAGCTAGGGAGGTGTAGACTTCCTGACTGGTTGGGGTCCCTGGGACAGTAAAAACAAATGACGGCTGGAGACAATTGATGTGGCTCAAAATCGTTATCAATGGCTAGTGCAGATGCATACACTCCCTGTGACTTATAATTTCCAATGAAAGTCTATATTGCTCTTCGTTATTACTCTTCCTTTTGCCTCATTTCCCTGTCTACTGTCTCTATTTTGCATTTCTTCTACTTTCTTCTCTTGCTTTGTGTTACATGAAGGGAGTGTGGTGACTTGAAATGCTGCACATCGGTGCAAAGTTCTATTTTGAAAACAGACAGACAGCAGCTGACCAGGGAGAGACGATTATCCGAGCATAACTGTAGAAAACAATCACCGCTGTAAGTTCATTTGCAAGGGACCCTGTAGGTGGCATCATTACAATTCTGAGACTGGCACAACTTTTTTTTTTGATTTACAGCTTGATTCCACACTGTATTTTTGGTACAAGTATGGAATTTTCAGCATGGATATCGGTAGCCCAAATTTTGCAGGCCGACCATAGATATCAGGTGTGCGCCGGCGTGGGCTCGAACCTCGGACCATGTGCATGGTCGGCGAGAGTCCTAACCACTGTGCCACCGACGCACAGCTTTTGATATAATTTATCCTTGATTCCGTTCGAAATGCAGTTGCTTGGGTGAAAAGTGGAGATTATGAATAGACATCGGTGGGTATTGTTGTTTTCTACTTCTGATGAATCCGTTCAGACGGACACCTCACATACGACTATCCACTGGGATCCAGTCGAGTATGAATTTTTCCACCCTAGCTCTCGATGCTATCCCTACACCTGTCCTGATGCTGTTTTGGTTTGACCACCACTGACCCTTTTCCAACCTGACCCTATGTCAGCTAACATTTCCTGTCGGTCGAGGAAGGCGATGACTAGGCATATGTAATACATGTCCTAACCATCTCAGTCGATGTAACTTCCCAGCCTCCTCTATTGATATCCCTCTTTACCTTGCACTCGACGCCTATTGAGGAAAAATGATACTGACGTAGATAAAGGTGTATGAAGATCAGAAGAGATTCACGTACTTACGAGTGTGCAGGCGCTTGTTACTTCCCAGCTGCCCACACCGTGGAAGAATTGCTCACATGATAAGTTTACCACATGCAAGGGATGACAACTAAGTAATTAAAAACTTCCTAATTCTGGTTTTAATAAACAAAAGGTAATTGAACAGGAAAGGAAATGGAACTGTGGACAGTACTAAGTATTTCAAATAAACCTAGCATGATTCCTTAAGACAGAGGCATAAAGTGAACCACGTAATTTCATGTGACACTTAAGCGCCAACAATGACTAATTCGATAAATTCATAAATTAATATTGTCGTTAATCTTCAGAGAACTCCGTTATTCTCACTGCTTGTATTTAGTAAAGTTATGTTATCAGCACTCCGAACCAAATCATCCAACTTCGGATGACACTAACTTCTGCAGTTAGAAGATTGTATACTGAATGAGTTTTCAACGTGAACCTTTGCACAAAGGAGTACCAGTTCAAGTTTTAGACTATATCACCCACAGTTTGCAGCTATGGTTTTTGGCCTGTCGAGGACCCGACCCCAATAAGGAAGTCTACACCTACACATATCGCTTAAACTGACAGTCAAAGACACAATGGACCAACGCCGTAGTTTGATTTAACCACTCCAAACTGTTTAAGCCTATTTCAGCTAACACTGTTCGGCGAGGAAGACGATGACTTGGTATCCGTGACACATAGTCTGGCCCTCTCAATCGATGTAGCTTCGAAACCTGATCGATTGATTTTCCCTCCTTATCTATCACTCTACATCTAACCCCAATATTTCTCACCATATTATACCACTTTACACAGAAGGAGGACTACTGACAGCCAACTAACCTATCTCCCACTTTTGATGATCATGTCTTACAGCTATTAAAGACGAAGTGAACAGTTGTACAGTGCACACATCTTTTGATAGCCGGATGTCAGTGGGATTTTAGCCTCCAGAACCATGACTGCAACTATCAAGCACACATCCACGGCATGTTCAGTTGACAAAAAACATTCAGTAGAGTCCTTCCAGAATAATCGTACAGGTTCAGAGGTGTTTAGCACATACCTATTACATACTAGTTTGGGAGTCAAAAGTAAAGTGCCATCTGAATCTTAGAAATCGAATACCATTTTCAAGTCAAGAAATATGATTAATATTATGTATTGGGAAGTACAACCGCACCTAGAGAATTAGTAAACGTCAGGTATACACGACTGCCACAACACACAGGACCAGTCCCAATTATTCACATATCTATGTGGATTTTCATAGACCACTAAGGTCAAACCATCTTGTCTGTATGGCAAAAGAAGTCCAATCCTTTCTTGAAGATCTCGACAAACAGAAGTCATGATCAGTCGAACTCGAACTGCTGCACTTCGGTGCCAAGCTCTATGTTGAATCCAGACAGATAGACAGACAGTCATGACCAGTACTACAAAATACAGATTGATTTCTGAAGCACTAATTGTCACATAAAACTGTGAGCCAAGTTAAACTTTTAGCACCAGTAAGTACAAGTGGAGGGCTACGGCACCGATGATCTTTAAACGCTCAGTGAGCAAATTAGTGAGACGTGCCAAACAACACTATAGTCATGAATAAAGTATGCTTAATAAAATGTTATGTTATTAAAAGGGATATCTTTGAAGTTTCAGGTTAGGTTTGGGAAAGATTCGTGTTTAGCCTAAGGATAGGTTAAGGTTAGGAATGGTTCGAGTTAGGTTACGGTTAGTATTAGGAATATTTCCACGTTAGTGTTGGGTTAAGGAAAGATTGGGATTATTGTTAGGATTAAAGACTTAGAGAATCATGTATGGAATGTAGTTAAATTACTATTAATACTCCACTCCAAAACTGAGAGGTATTTTTGTCACATATCAGAGAAAGGTAACCTGTGTAACGATTTCATGCCCTTGAACTCATTATTTTCGTGAATACATGTATTTTATACGCAAAAATTACCTTTACCAGATGGTTGTTGAGTTCAGGGTCATTTGTCCATTGGTAATTACTGGTGCTCAGAGTTTAACTTTGCCAAGCTGTGAGATGAGTTCCTAAACGAAATAAAAACCACTAATCTACGAACTACACACTTTAAAACATCATGATCTATGACAGATGACGTCGACCAGTGTATTTAATATACTTTCTACTTTAAAGTGACAATCTGTTCTGAAACAAACATGTAAAACATCTGAAAAATAAGTTTAAAAGAGAAATGACAGCTATAAGAACGATCAAAACGATCATAGCCGCACAGCCATTTTACTGCGACCGATAAATATTCAACGCTTATTGATGCATTCAACATTCTTTACAAAATAACACTACAAATGTTATTATGCTAGTTATTTCGAGTGGATGTATAGGTTTTGATGACAGAAGCTAGCTAATTGAATGCATGTATGTGAAAAAGTTACTTCCACCTCGGCTTTTCGGTCGAGGGCACATTAACAGACTTAACCTTTCGACAGTACTCAAGTTCAGTCCATAAGCAAAGCTAAAGCAGTCACCACCAGTAACTTTACCGATGAACCTGGAGAACTACTACAAAGGAATAAATCACATCATCCATTACTAATGCCAAGAATACTAGTTTCCTAGTTCCGTCTAAATATTTCTACATACAGTGCTTAATTTGGAAACTTTATTATAGTTCAAATGAGGAATAAAACTGTCCAATATGAATTTAAGTACGGTTTTCTGGAGAATATACCCGTCTCAGTCTCGCTTTACTAATACCGGTTGTTCGAAGTCACTTGATGGTGACTGCAATATTGTAGACCCGACAGAAGGCAAGATAAGTCAAACAATGGTCAGAAGCCACTTCCCTGTATGCACTAAGAACACAAAAATGCGAAACTTTGACAGTGAAAGAATAAGTTTTCAGAGATAAGATACTGTTCCTACTGGATTTCGGAGTCGGGCCACATGCAAGTAAGACGACTGATCAAACACAATAGTTGCACATGAAAACTGCCATTTATCGATGAAATCAAGAATTTAAACAGGAGAAACGCAGTTTTAACACAAAGTTAGTCTTACTCACTTTTTGAGGAAGGATTGAACACCTTTATTGTTTTTCGCAGATGGAAAGTCACAATCAGTAACCAGGGCTGACACCACATCTAATAGGTTTTCCAAATAACAGTCTGATGATGGATCAAGTAATTCCTTCTCAAGTTCGTTAAGGGGAAGGTTATCCGATGACGACATATCGTCGGGACACCCACCTGACTTTTCCAAAAATTAACGAGGTGGTCCACTATATACTCTGTATGACCTTAAACAACGCTGTAAATAAACAAAACTGCCTATCAGACTACTGTCAATGGTCTTAAAATCTCTGCTAGTTATTTTTTAACATATGTATTGCAACTGACTTCTGATATTGAATTAGATTAGACTTATAATAATAATAATTTAAGGAAAATACGAAAGTTGACCTAGAATGAGCGACTAGGAGGACAAAATGCCTTGCATTCCTAGTGGCATTTTTTACGTCTACCACTTCTGAGCTACGATGGCTGATCATAATGTTACACTCCGCCACTTGGTGTATTTCCCTACCCTTTGTGAATCGTAATCTAGGGCCTACTATTGTAGAGGCATACGGCATGAGTGTTCACCCGCGTGTCCAGAGTGCAAAGAAGGTACACTGTGGAAAAAGTGATTTTAGAAAGACGGCTTTTTCATTCAAACTCATGCTATAGGAACTAATCTATGATGACTGAGACCCACAAGAAGCATAGGACACCCTGACCATTCAGGGAAACTGCAGTGATCTTATGTACAGTTACAGTAACACTAGTCAGCCAACTAAGGTGATTCAAATCACAGTTTAAGCAACTTGTTCTGACTTTCGTATCACAGGTTGATCTGTTATCCCAGGTTTCACGAAAATTTCATTTTATATGAAGGCACTATATTATTTAATGGGCAAACGAATTTGCTTTATTCCTGGTTTTCCTGATTCTAAGGGGAGCAACCCGTAAAGTCGCCCCTCTGCAAACTACATGTACGTGATTCGACCCCTTTCTCAGGCGTGAGGCTAGCAACCCCACCCCGTAGAAAAAGCTACTACAGAAACTTTAGTACAATGAGTATCTCGAGACAAGAGAAAAAGTCTGTGTGGAGAGAGGGGACGAGACTGTCAAAGCTGCCCTGATTGGAAACGAGATGAAAAGATACGGAATTCAAGTACTGGGAATGTGTGAAAGCAGATGGAATGGGAATGGACTTACCAAATTGTCAACGGGAAAGTCTTTGATCTACCCCGGTCACCTAGAAGACAACCACATGGACACCGAGGGTGTGGCCATCATGATGTCACCGATGGCAACGAAGGCCCTGATGCAATGGGAGGCGATCTCGTCCAGGACAATGACCGCCAGAATAAGCTCCAAAAGAAGAAAAGTGTCAATTATACAGTGCTATGCACCCACAAACAACAAAGACTTTGAAAAGAGAAAGAGTTCTACCGACAACTGAAGGTAATAATGGACAATACTCCTATGACTTTAAAATACTAATGGGAGACATAAATGGCGAACTGGGACCAGACAACACAAGAAGAGAACTCGTCATGGGTAGAGAAGCTCTTAGAGAGATGATGGATAACTCTTCGCCGACTTCTGCGCCTTCAATGAACTACTGATTGGCAGCAGCGCATACAAGCACAGGGATATCTGCAGGACTACATGGGTGTCACCAGACGGGCCAAACAAAACCCAAATTGACTTCATCTCAATGCTGCTCAAGGAAGTGAAGACACAAGAGTAACAAGAAGAGCAGACGTCGGCTCAGACCACCATCTCGTACAAGGAATACTACAGATCAAATTAACAGCTTTCAAAGAAGCAGGAGCTGCAGAAAGACCAGGAGCCACGTTCAATACTCAAAAACTGGAGGATCAAGCCACAGAGGACATCTTCACTACAGTCACACACGAATCAACACTAGCGAAGAGAACAGCGTCTAAAGGCACTGGAACTACCTGAAATCGGTGAAGAGTCAAACCTGTATGGAAGTTCTGCGCAGAAAGAAGAGAGAGGATAAACTGTGGATCACCAAAGACATATGGAGACTAAGAGAAGAGAGAAGGACGTTGAAACAAAAGATTATCCAGTGCATCGATGTCAAGGAACTAATCCCTAAGTTCCTATTGTTACGAAGACACTCCGAACCGATAAAAACTATGTACTTTCTTCGACTTTAACTCCAAAACGACAGTATTGTAAGAAGGAAGTTATATTGTTTGGCAATCAAAGCGGAGAACAGTAAAAGTCTATAAACAAATGTTTCATACAAAATTATGAAGTACTTTTGTTCGTTTTTGGTCGTCCTCAGCGAAAGATTCGCGCCTTCGAGTTGCCAAACAAACGTTCAGTGTTCACCTCCATTGACACTCCGCGGCAAGAAAGAGTCCATCCCTTTTTCCATAGCGCCGATAATCTTGAACTGAACTCCCAATGCGGGACCTGCGCCAACCGGGACCAGGCTAAAATGGAAAAGCAAGACGAAAAAGCCCAACACACAACAAGCATACCACATCACACCGACACGCTCCCCTCGGCGCGTGGAATCTTCGCTCTCTGTAGACAATACCACCACTGGTCAGATTGACGAAGTGTTGGTTGCTTCATATCAATCTGGCATAATCCTCTCCCCGGAGAATCCAATCACATACAATGACCCTAACAGTACTCGATTCGTTCACAAGTTTAGAAGACCAGAAAAGTCTTCAGAAGTACTTACAATAACATTACAAAATGATTCACACAATGCGACAACTATAAATAAACCAAAAATTAGATGAATTGGAACCCATTCGAATATTTAAAACAAATGCATGTACAATCAACACATCAAATGTTGTGGATTCTGGCACGGCAAACTACCCTTGAAGAACTGTAGGACTTACAGCAGTACGCCTACATTCCTTCTCAGGTTGATGATCCAAGTGGAAGTCGTCTAGACACAAACAGAATTACCAACAACTAGATGACAGATGATACCAATTCAGTATATACAACATGAACATATGTACAAAATCACACACCAAGCACACTGGACTGCTCATTGATGCGCTACCCTCTGAAGAATTGTAGGACTTACAGCAGTACACCAACAACCCTTCTCAGGTTGACGCTCTAGGTTGGAAAATCGTCGCAGAGTTCATTTGCTGATTTCCTTCTATCATCTATATCCTCAAATCTGAAGCGAAACACGCTCCTGTTACCATGTCGTGGAATACAGATGACTAACCAACATATGACGTGTCAATCAAGTCTACAAACCGTTAAAAGACAGCATTTGGTACGCCGTGCCTGTCGCTGTCTGACGAAGCCTTTAAAAACACGCTTAGTACTAACGAACGCTAACACCAAAACACCGATTAGCTACTCGAGAATCCTTTATTCTAACACCAACATATGAACAGCATAATAACTAAGGTCTATGAACAAATATTACGATAATAAACCACGATATTACTTCTGACGGTTTTCTCCTGACTTCTTTCTGAACAGCGACTGATGAGACGATGACTGGTGAATTGATGCCTCCGCGAAAACATAGGGAAGTTGGGTTTGAGCAAATAACCATGAATTGATCGTTCAATCTTCAACTACATTGACACTCCCCGGCAAAAAGGGATCCAACCCTTTTTTCCTTCACGACCAATACACGTTGACTTGGATGCCATTGCGAGAACCTGGGTCTCACGGACAGAGCTGAAATGGAAAACAAACAGAAAAGTCAACACACCACAAGCATACCCACAGCACAATCTCACACATCGCTGACGACCTGCGCCTCCAGACAGAGACCTCCTCTTGACATCTTGAAACACAATCGCCATTTGCTAGAATGACTCTTGCAGAATGCAAAGTGACCATGGCATCACCTCATGATACTCTTCTCACATCCTCGTATCTACTCACTACCAATTATTATAATTACCACTGCAATCACCTGTCACTCATTCTGCGTCAGTTCTAGTAACGGTGACGTATGCAAGCCTCAGTCGCCTACACTCCCACTCCCCGGCGTGTGGGATCACAGCTGATCATTATCTCCGTATGCATGTCATTCTCAGCACTAGCTCGGCTCCCCGGCGTACACGACCCATCTGCTGTATTTAACACCAATCAACTCATTCACGGATGTGGAAGACTCAAAACAAATCCAGAAGTAAGCACGATGAAAAATTTAACGAAATTATGCAATAAGAACAAGGTACGAAAACAACGAGTAAACACAATTAATCCAAACACAAATTGATATGACACAGCACACGTATATACAAACAGTACGAATAACCTCGCGGAACATGTTTTGGTGGAATTCCTTTGAAGAATTGCAGGACACGAACAAGGTTAACCAACAATTACAATAATTGGAACTCACACAAGTATTTAACACAAACATGTACAATGAATATATCAAATGTTGTGGATTCTGGCTTGACGAACTACCCTTGAAGAACTGTTGGACTTAGGGTAGTACGCCTACATTCCTTCTCAGGTTGACGCTCTAGGTTGGAAAATCGTCGCAGAGTTCATTTGCTGACTTCCTTCTATGAGCTAAATCCTCAAATCTGAACGGTAACACGCCCATGTCATTGTATCGTAGAATATAGATGACGAACAAACACACGACATATCTCATCAACCAAGCGTAGGCACAGAGTAATTTACACCAAAGATAATAGCATTCAAGTAGTAACTTGGAACTTGAAAGACCTTTATTCATGCAAGTCAATTTAACAATTACTCTCTCGTTTACACTTGGCTTATCCTCACCAAAATGAGCAATGTCTTTCGTCTTTTCAAACGCACCAATACTATCATAGTCATTGCACAAGATATTTGAGTTGATGGGTGTCTGTTTCATTGTGGATGAAAACACCAACGATGACTGAGTGACACAAGGTGATGAAATTAGCGGTGGATCAGATGCTGTTCTTTTTCGGCTTTCAGAAAGTTGTCCAACTGCAAGATTACCACCACTGCTGTCTTTCACTACTAGTTCGGGTTTAGCACTATCATCTGAAGATAGGTGGGCTACACGCTGATCAATTACACTGACTGTCTCACAAGTATGCACACCCTCTGAAACTGCATATGCGTTCAATTCTACTTCACTTTGTAGTTGTACAGAACCTTTATTCAACTCAGCAGTAGCAGGCATTCCCCTGATCTCATCATGATCCA